GCTCTGTCACCCAGGCTGGAGTGCAGTGGCGCAGTCTTGGCTCACTGCAACCGTCACCTCCCTGGTTCAAGCACTTTCCCTGCCTCAGCCTCCCAAGTAGCTGGGATTACAGGCACCCGCCACCATGGTTGGCTAATTTTTTTGTATTTTTAGTAGAGGCAGTGTTTCACCATGTTGGCCAGACTGGTCTCAAACTCCTGACCTCAGGCAATCTGCCCACCTTGGCCTCTATTATAGGTGTGAGCCACCACACTTGGCCTATCCTATTTTTCAGTCTTCTTAAATACACATTTTATTACCTCTAGTCAAGATTTGGCTGTATTTTGTTTCTGTGTTTGGGAGGTGGTAGGGATGGGGATGGGAGACCTACGAGTTTCTTTTCTCCCAAATTTAAAATGATCTAATAATATTGAATGTGCTCCCACTATCCCAAGTCAAAATTCTAATCTGAAGTTTTTTGTTGTTTTTTTTTTTGTTTTTTTTTTTTTTTGAGACGGAGTTTCGCTCTTGTTACCCAGGCTGGAGTGCAATGGCGCGATCTCGGCTCACCGCAACCTCCGCCTCCTGGGTTCAGGCAATTCTCCTGCCTCAGCCTCCTGAGTAGCTGGGATTACAGGCACACGCCACCATGCCCAGCTAATTTTTTGTATTTTTTAGTAGAGACGGGGTTTCACCGTGTTGACCAGGATGGTCTCGATCTCTTGACCTCGTGATCCACCCGCCTCGGCCTCCCAAAGTGCTGGGATTACAGGCTTGAGCCACCGCGCCCGGCCAATCTGAAGTTTTTAATTCAGTTTCCATTTTTGTTTTAGATTCAGGGAGTGCATGTGCAGGTTTGTTACAAGGATATATTGCAGGTGCTGAGAATGGGCTTCTATTAATCCCATCACCTAGACAGTGAACATAGTACTTAATAGGAAGTTTTTCAGCCCTTGCCCCTCTCACTTCCTCTTTCCTTTTAGAGTCCCCAGTGTCTGTTGTTCCTATCTTTATGTCCATGTGAATCCAAGGTTTAGCACCCACTTACAAGTGAGAACCTCTCTTCTTTTGGTCTCTCCCCTTTAAGACCCCTGGATTGACATTCCCAAATGTTTCCACCAGAGAGCTAGAACCTACCTGCAAAGTTGTGGATATTTTCACTTCAGTTGCTAAGCACTTCCAAACTGAGAGAGGAGTCTGGCACTTAGCGTTGAATGGGGCA